TGTGTGTGCATATGCATATATTTTCATGTGTGTGTGTGTGTATGTGTGTGTGTATTTGTGCATGTGTGTATGTTAATGTGTGTATGTGTGTGTGTGTGTTTGTTTGTGTATGTGTGTGTGTGGGGGCGTGTGTGTGTGTGTGTAGCGAGGGCTGAATAAAGCGCTGTGTGTGAGTGTGTGGTGTGTTTGCTGGTTAATCTGCCTCTTAAAGACATCTGTCAGTGCGCATCACTATTGTTTGTCATGCTGCAGACACAAATCCAATCCTGCCGCTTCTATCATGTCACATTTGGCAGATCAGCAGTGACACAAATTGTATCATAGCGTCCCGCGCGGGGCTTGCGCTCGCAGGAGCCACCGCTGGCAGTCAGAGACCTTTGCAGAAACGCCTGCGTTAGCGCTAGCTTGGCCTGCGTTCAGGGACTCGGCGCTAACCGTCGAGGAAAGCGCTGTGTTTTGCGTCTTTGCGCTCGGAGCCATGCGTTTCATCTGATTGGCTGTGTGTGTGTGTGTGTGTGTGTGTGTGTGTGTGTGTGTGTGTGTCTCTCTCTGCACACATGCTTCCATTAATTGGCCTGATCCTGATTCAGCTGCACTCTGATCTCTTATCGTGCTGCCTGCTTGCATCATATAAGCAGCACACACACACTTGTACAGCTATCTTTATGGGGACGTAATGATGTTTCTATTGTACAGACTGTATATTATATCCTCTCGCTCTCACAGCAAACAATCTACACTATAACATATTCACAATACTCGATTCTTAATACTTATTAAATGAACCTTTTCCTTATGGGGACCAAAAATTACTGGTATTTCTATACTTGTGGGGACATTTGATCATCACAATGTTAGGAGTACAAGACACACACACACACACACACACACACACAAAAAACACTCAAACCCACACTCATCACACGTCTTCACACATCACAATATATCATTCTGCTGGAATTATGAGCCCTTTTCCTCATGAGGACCAAAAAATGTCCCCACAAAGTCAAAAATTACTTGGATTACTTACTTGTGGGGACATTTGATCATCACAATATTAGGAATGACATAGAAATGACAAGACACACGCACACCAACACACATAAAAAACTCAAACACACACTCACAGGAGCTCACACACTCCTACACACATGCACATTTGTTCAGCTATCTTTATGGGGACATGAGGATGTTTCTGCTGTACAGACTATATTCTCTCCTCTCACAGCAAACAATCTGCACTTTTACATCATCACAATACATAATTCGGCTGAATATATAAACACTTTTCCTTATGGGGACCAAATATGCCCCTACATGGCCATAAATACTGGTATTTGTATACTTATGGGGACATTTGGTCATCACGATGTTAGCAATACACACACACACACACACATAAAAAAAACACTCAAACACACACTCATCACACATCTTCACAATACATAACTCTGCTTGATTTACAAGCCCTTTTTTCTCATGAGGACCAAAAAAATGTCCCCACAAGGTCAAACATTACTGGGATTGCTGTACTTGTGGGGACATTTGGTCATCACAATATTAGGAATACAAGATATACATGCACACACACCCATATAAACATTCAGACACACACTCAAAGGAGCTCACACACTCATACACACACACACGCATACTTGTAAAGCTATCTTTATGGGGACGTAATGATGATTGTATTGTACAGACCGTATATTCTCTCATCTTCTGCCACAGCAGAATGAATCATCAACTATTACAGCATATGTTTTACACAGCAGATGCCCTTACAGCAGCAACCCAGTACTGGGAAACACCCATACACACTCATTCACATGCACACTCATACACTACGGCCAGTGTAGTTGATCAGTTCCCCTATAGCGCATGTGTTTGGACTGTGGGGGAAACCGGAGCACCCGGAGGAAGCCCACGCCAACACGGGGAGAACATGCAAACTCCACACAGAAACGCCAACTGACCCAGCCGGGACTCGAACCAGTGACCTTCTTGCTATGAGGCCACAGTGCTAATCAATGAGCCACCGTGCCACCCTATAGATAACTATTTAAAATTTAGTGTGTGTTGGTCATCACCACATGCATCATTCACTGTGTGTGTGTGTGTGTGTGTGTGTTTTCTAATCCCGAGCGTCTCTTGTGTTTCCCTCCAGCACCCGTATCCCTCAGAAGAGCAGAAGAAGCAGCTGGCTCAGGACACCGGCCTCACCATCTTACAAGTAAACAACTGGTGAGTCTCTGTTCATCTCCTCCTCTTCACGTTCCCTCAGAAGTGTTCAAGGGGACAGCAGGGATACACACAGCTCAGCTCATAACCCCGAGGTGGCGGATTAAATGAAACGATCACAGAGCCGCACAGATTGATACAGGAATTATTTATCGGAAAAATACGTTTAATATATATTATCGCTGGCTTCATTTAAAGTTCCGATTAATTGAGCTGACAGCTTCTTTTCAGAAACACCGGGATTTCCTGGCCTTACACAAACGTAATTATACGCAGCGCTATGTTATCGGTCTAATTCCATGTAGTGGAGCTTTTTATTTACAAATGAGAAGTCTCGGGCTTTTATCCGCAGCTCCGCTTAATGTATTTATCAAAGCGAGTCTCATTTTGGCGGGGCTGTATCTGTCGGGGACAGGCGGCGGCTCTCGGCGTTATCACCCTGAGGTCAATTGATTTTTTTCTGCTGCTTTTGTGATTCATTTCCCCCCCCTACACCTCGTTCTGTTGCGGGATCACAATGAGAAACACGCCTGGAGAATGAGCTGGGTTTGTCCACTTAAATTGGCCGTAGGAAGCGCTGTTATCTGCCCGGCGGTGTGGACAGCGTTTCAATTACAGCCGCTCGTGCCGTCACACACCTACGGCAGCAGAAAATCGAGCCGCTTCGGCTGTTTCATGCTGATTAATGCTGAAACACACTGAGAAGCCGACTGAAGTTGTGTGTTGGACGTGTGCTGATACTCAATAATTCAATATAAGGTGATTATGAACATGCTCAATTCAAGTTTTTCCGTATAGCACTTTTCTAAATTAATATGGCTTGAAAGCAGCTGCACATTATTGCATCACATGTATAACTAATTAACTAGTAATAATTAGCCTTTAACAGTTAGAGTTGTTATATATACACATAGGTTGCAGATATATAGCATATACAGCAGGGGAAATAAGTATTGGTGTTTTCCTGGGAATAATATTTGTAAAGGAGCTGCTGACATGGACTTGAAGCAGATTTTGGTAAAANAAAAAAAAAAAAAAAAAAAAAAATATATATATATATATATATATATATATACATACATATATATATATATATATATATATATATATACATATATATATATATATATATATATATATATATATATATATATATATATATATATATATATATATATATATATATATAGACATAAAAGCAAAACAAAAGATGCTTCTGTGGGTCTCGTCTATCAAATCTGAGCTTTATTTTATATTCTCAATTGGATTCGGATCAGGTGATTGGCTGGGCCATTCTACAGCTTGATTTTCTTTCTCTGAAAGCATCTGAGAGTCTCCTTGGCTGTGTTTTGCTTATCAATTCCCCTATAGCGCATGTGTTTGGACTGTTGGGGAAACCGGAGCACCCGGAGGAAACCCACACCAACACGGGGAGAACATGCAAACTCCACACAAAACTGAGCCAACAGAGACTCGAACCAGCAACCTTCTTGCTGTTAGGGCACAGTGCTGACCACTGATGCACCATGTCACCAACTTCTATAGTAGGAAAAAAAAAACACAATGGAAGTCAATGGTTACAGGTTTCCAACATTCTTCAAAATATCTTCAAAGAGAAAAGAAACTGTTAAACGTTTGTAATGAGGGAAGTGAGAGTGCATTATTGTGTGAACTGGCCCTTTAAATCCCGAGCTCACGCACACTCGCCCAGGTCAGATCCGCTGCGTCCACCTGACATTCCTGGATTCCTCCTGTGACGGAGCGCGTGTGTGCGCGTGTGTGTGTGTGTGTGTGTGTGTGTGTGTGTGTGTGTGGATACGCCTTTGATATGCAGAGACTGACGGGTTAGCTGGACGTCCTGAATCAGGTCTTTGTTCCGAGCAGAATCAAACACAGGAGTCACTGTGAGACGTGACAGAGACAGAGAGACTCCTGCTCCGACAACACCATACACCTCTCTCTCTCTCTCTGTGTGTGTGTGTGTGTGTGTGTGTGTGTGTGTTGAAGATCAGCTTGTTTCTGAAGCCTGAAATGAGACTGATCTGCTTTATTTGAGGGCTATAGTGAAGGCAGGGCATGATTGAAGCAGAGTCAGTGTATAGAGAATTATACACACCCCGACTGCAGCACGTTTAACTTTGACCTACTGCAGACCATGAGACGCTCTTATTCTGGCCGGCGGTGGTCAGATTGCACAACTCTCTTTCTAAATATACGGCTGGAGAGCAGATGAGCGTCTGGCAGAGCACAGCATCAGCACGCCTTGCGTTTAGCGGGCGCTAATTGGCAGTTAATTAGCGGAATTTGACTCAGTTGTTGGTTCCCCAGCGTCTGCCTCTTCATCTGATCTGATATAAGTCTCTCAGCGCCACTTTCAGCAGACTGGCACACATCAGAACAAGCAGAGGATCCAATTCATTACTCAAACTCTGGGCCATCAATCCAGTCCAAACTGCAAACGCCATTGTGCAAAGCTGGGATTGACACACAACTTATCAATGAAGTATGGAGAGAGTTATAGTGATCCTCCTGAAGGAGAGAGGGAGACGTGTGGAAACAAGATGTGTGCTGACAATATCATAATAACTCATTCATTCATTTTCTTTTAGGCTTAGTTCCTTTATTAATCCGGGGTCGCCACAGAGGAATGAACCGCCAACTTATACAGCATATGTTTTATGCAGCAGATGCCCTTCCAGCTGCAACCCATCACTGGGAAACATCCACACACACACTCATTCACACACATACGCTATGGACAATTTAAGCTTAATCAATTCCCCTATAGCGCATGTGTTTGGACTGTGGGGGAAACCAGAGCACCTGGAGGAAACCCACGCCAACACGGGGAGAACATGCAAACTCCACACAGAAACACCAACTGACCCAGCCGAGACTCAAACCAGCGAGCTTCTTGCTGTGAGGCGAGAGCGCTAACCAGTGCGCCACCATGCTGCCTATCACAGTAATAATAATAATAATAATTGTTTACAAGTGTCATCATTACAAACAAATAAATACAGATTTTTTTTTTAGACTAATTACACTCACCGGCCACTTTATTAGGTACACCTGTCCACCTGCTGGTTAACGCAAATGTCTAATCAGCCAATCACAGGGCAGCAGCTCACTGCATTTAGGCATGTAGACATGATCAAGACGATCTGCTGCAGGTCAAAGTGAGCATCAGAATGGGGAAGAAAGGGGATTTAAGAGACTTTGAAAGTGGCATGGTTGTTGCTGCCAGACGGGCTGATCTGAGTATTTCAGAAACTGCTGATCTACTGGGATTTTCACGCACAACCATCTCTAGGGTTTACAGAGAATGCTCCGACAAAGATTAAATATCCAGTGAGCGGCAGTTCTGTGGGCGCAAATGCCTTGTTGATGAGGCCAGAGGTCAGAGGAGAATGGCCAGACTGGTTCCAGCTGATAGAAAGGCAACAGTAACTCAAATAAGCACTCGCTACAACCGAGCTCTGCAGAAGAGCATCTCTGAACACACAACAAGGCCAACCTTGAGGTGGATGGGCTACAGCAGCAGAAGAGCACACCGGGTGCCGCTCCTGTCAGCTAAGAACAGGAAACTGAGGCTACAATTCACACAGACTCACCAAAACTGGACAATAGAAGATTGGAGAAACGTTGCTGCTCTGATGAGTCTCCATTTCTGCTGACACATTCGGATGCTCGGCTCACAATTTGGCCTCAACAACATGAAAGCATGGATCATCCTGCCTTGTATCAGCGGTTCAGGCTGGTGGTGGTGGTGTAATGGTGTGGGGGAGATTTTCTTTGGGTCCATTAGTACCAATTGAGCATCAACGCCACAGCCTACCTGAGTATTGCTGCTGACCATGTCCATCCCTTTATGAGCACAGTGTCTCCATCTTCTGATGGCTACTTCCAGCAGGATAACGCAGCATGTCATAAAGCTCAATCATCTCAGACTGCTGAACATGACGATGAGTTCACTGTACTCAAATGGCCTCCACAGTCACCAGAGCTCAATCCAATAGAGCAGCTTTGGGATGTGGTGGAACGGGAGATCTGCAGCAACTGTGTGATGCTATCATGCCAATATGAGGAATATCTCCAGTAGCTAGTTGAATCTACGGATTAAGGCAGTTCTGAAGGCATCCAACACAGTACTAGTAAGGTGTACCTAATAAAGTGGCCGGTGAGTGTGTGTCTTAATGTTAATCTTAGTGTTGTTAGTATGCGTTCAGTCTGCAGATGAAATAGCGAGATGCGTCATTTTTCTGCTCTGGGACGATCCGTTTTGTTTGCAGGGGAAAACAAATAGAGCAAGCCTGAAGAAAGAGACGCGTCTGAGGTGAATAAGTGGGTTAATTTCTGTGGTTTTGCAGGTACGACTGGGATCGCGCTGCGCCTCGGGCCGTCTGTGAGCGGAATAGCAATTTTATTACGTTGTCATTAAAGCAATTTCACAGCACTATTGTTTGTTAATGAGAAGCCGCAAACGAGGAGAGACGCCGCGGACGCTTGCTCTCTTTTTATATCGCTGGAAAAGAAATGCGCGCTCACTCTTCGCATCTGTCTCTATCTGAACTCAGGCTTGTAAAAGGGAAACCCACATATAGCTGAAATATAAAGTCTGTAGTGCCAAGGCTGTGTTTATGAGCTGCCGTCGGACTGCTCCTGCTCTGATAGCCGGACTCCCGTCTGTTTTTATGTCCGTTTAGGATAATACGTCATAGCCATGACAGCCGAGCACATCCAGCTTGGACTGTGACGCAAAGAAAGCACAGAAGTAGCCTAATGCGATCATTTCCTACACATTATATTAGTACTAAAATGTCTAAAAAAGTCCCTTTGTTAAACTGTAGAGCTGCATTTTCAACATCAGAGGTGGACAAAGCAGAGATCAACATCCCATAATGCAACTCACAACTGAAAATACACATGTGAACATAGCAAAATACAGAAACTAGTCACTTTACTGTGTGGAATCACCACAGTTGGTTGTTTTGGGTGTTTCT